CCCCCCAGCCCACTGACTCTTCAATTTACATCTTCACTGACTGCCTGTCTTGCATGCATACCAGGCCAGCCTCTGGCTTCTTTACTTTCATTCCATCCAAGAAGAGCACCCCCACACTGCAGAGCCTTCCTCAGCTTGATGAAGGGTTTTTAAACCCAAAAGCTTGCTAATTTTTTTTTCCAACTATTTAAGTTGGTCTAATAAAAGATAGCAGTTTCACCCAAAGAACCTTGTCTGCCTGAGGTACCTTTAGGAAGTTGATCACAGAATACTATCTTGTGGTAGCTATGTTAACAATGGAGCCTAAATAGCTGCATCAAATGGCTTATGAAGATATTTGACAGACATTAAATGCCTGTTTTGAGAGATATGCCTCGATTAAGGAACTATGTTATAAGGTTTTTTGGGGCACATGGGATACCTTTTATTAAACCAAAGCAGGTCTGTTAAATGTAAATAGAGGTAATAAAGATCAAAGGCTATTGGATACAATAGATGCGAATTTCAGGAGAATACATTGGTTTAGCATAATAAACATTCAGAGCTTGTCTGCCTATTTTGAGATGTATGCCTTAATTAATTAATGCAAATGTGAGGCAGTGAGGAACAGGGGCCACTGGGGACAATTGGTGTGAGGTAGGAAGGTCAGATGCAGTCACATAGACTGATTTAGCATAATAAACATTGGGTATATTCACAATTAACACAGGACATGAGATCAATTTGGAATTGCTTTCTTCTAGGCAAATTTTTAGTATCGGACCCCCCTTAGCCAGAGATAATGATAATAATAATCAGACAACAGATAAAAAATTACCATTTTCAGGCACCCTTTCTGTCCAGGCCCCAGGCAGCTGCCTGATTAGCCCATGCCTGTGTCTGGCCCTGGGTCCCATATTACATAACTGGGAGTATTATCATCTTGAATTTGGGCAGCAAAAGAATTGAGGACAAGGTTTCACCTTTTATGTTCTTGTAAGGGGAAAACATGAGAGCATGCAACACTCATTTGTGGCACCTAATGGTGATTGTTTGTGTAAATGACAAACTTTGACATACGGTGTATGTGAGCAGCTGGGTGGAGTCCATATGTTCAGAACATCTCCAAGAATCCTAGTAACTGTAAACAAATTAACCACTTTTAGATAGAGCTATGTTATAACAACATCAAGGTTACAAAATAAAGCACACAAAAAATTAGAAAATGATAGAATTAAATTTGCTTGTATAACTTAATGGGTCCTTCTTGCATATATGTGTGTTATGGTAACAGGATCCTTGTTTCAATCCTTTATACAATTATCCTCTGCTCAGAAGATAACTTAATTATAACAACATTAAAATGCTGTTGTCCATAGGATCCCTACTTCATGTTTTAAATTCATTCCTGTTTGTTGATAAGCTACATTTTGGAAACTTTTGACCTGCTCTGTTTAATAATTTGTGTGAACGAGTTTATTGCATTTTACTACATCAAATTACTTTGCTGCTGCTAAACTAGATCAAAGAAAGCCAGCTACACCCAAAATGTTTTATTTAATTTTCTCAAGCCATGTATTTGTGGTAATCTCACCATGCCTATCATTGAAACCTGCAAAAATACCACATTATTCCATGCAAACTGACTTTAAACCAGAAGCAGTGTGGCACAGTGGGTTGACTAATTAACATCTATGGAGGCTTTTTAGCACTGTCCTTCAACAGTGTTAATTAGCCTTTTCAATACACCACCTTGTGCATGTGACACACTTACCATGCTTCTGGTTTGTGAAGCACTCCATATGGAGCAGCACAGAACATTTGAAGGCACAACCACCTGACACAGCAAGATGTATACTTTCCCTCAGTCAGTTAAAGAGCAGTGTAATGGACAAGCAACATAGATATTAATTTTTTCATGATCTCTTGTCTTTAGATTTATGAAGTGGAATTATCTGATGAGGAAGAAGCAATCAAAGCAAACCTAGTAGATAATGAAGCATTGCCACTAGAAGTACTTGATAATATTGTTTCTGACTGGTGGACAAAGGAGCCATTCCGGTAACTAATTTAATCATATTATTTATCTTTTAGTTTCATTTTAATTTTAATCTTTAACTTTAATCTTTTAATATATTCCATTTTTCAACCATAGGTCTACAGATTGGGACTATATAATGAATAACATGGCAATATAGAGTCTCTTGAATTTTTAGTACATTGCAATATCAAAATAAGCCAATAGATTTAAGAATACAGTACATTCACTTTAATAATTGCAAAAACTATCAAACCATCCAAAAATAACTCCATCTTCCAGAGGAAAACCCAAAGGATAGGATTCAATAAGAAAATATAAGTACCAATTCTGAATACCAATCCATTTATTTGGAAGGCTGAGGAGGACAGGGGAAAAGTTCAGAGCTGTCAATATTCTGGTTATAACCTTTATAATTATTCATGGTAAGAAGAAACATGACTAGATGACTTCCTTCTGAACTTGAGAAGGAAAGATTCATGTCATAGTGAGTTTTCAGAATACAACCATTTATAGACTGCTGCATCTTAGTAGACAGGCATGCAAGAAGTTGCACAACTGGGTCCAAAACAGTAAAATCAAATTTGTAACTTTTTGATTTACAAGTACAGAGTTTTCTTAGTGTATGAAGACAGTATAGAGATAGAGAACATTCTTAGACTTCACAAAACACTGAACAAGAAAAAACTTCAGTAAGAAAAAAATGCCCTCCAATAAAACAGACATAATATAGTTTCTTAGTCACCCACTAACTTCTGTCAACTACTTTCTCTATTAATATAATCTGGCAGGCAGAAGGCTGAATGACTGTATTTGCACGAAACCAAGATGTCTTCAAATTTAAGACTAGCTCCCAATAATTAGATTCTAGACACTGGGGGGGAGGGTGTTATCATATATTTGTCCACCTCCCCCCACTGTTGCAGCAGGTGTTGTACACCTTTGGGGAAGAAATCATTCTTTTAATTTTGCATTTAACAAAAAAAAAAGTATGATACCTGCTAGCTGTCAGAAGCTCCATTGAAATGTTCTATAGGAGAATGGATTAAAGAAATCATTGGTTCAGACTCTCACCATTTCCTCACCCTTCTGCAAATGTAAACGATCCTGACTCTCACTGGAGGGGAGGATGGAAAAAAATTGCAATCTGATTTCGTTATTCCATGAAACTTCTATCCATTCTGCCTCAGCTGAGAAAAGTGGTCTGTGTCTTGCTGTTAAGGCTCATGAGTGTGAGAGATTGCAGTTATATTTAATCTACCAGTAAAGGTCAAGGGTCTGTCCAAGCTTAAATGGCCCATCAGATTTGTATGGTTAAGGCATGCTAGCTTCTGGAGCCAGCTGCACACAAGGGAGTGATGTGGCTAGTATTATATCCAACTGCTTTTGACTCCCCAGGCCAAATGACCAGAAGCCTGTTTTACACCTGAGTTGACTGGGAGTGATCTTTAGCACAGGTCTGGAGTAAAGTCATGCCTCTAGAACTACATCTCAACTAGTTTGCCACCACAGCCCAATCTATTAAAAAGAAATATAGAAACACTAAACCCAGGTTGGAATGTACTTATCCAGCAGGAGGATAGAAGGGGTATGACCGAGCCCTGAAGCCCTATGAGCAAATGAAAACTGCCTCCACTATTAGTAGGAAAGGACTTTTGCAGAGTCCATGCCATGGACTCTGGGAGAGAGGTCCTACCCACTCTTCCAGATCAGGAAATCATCAGGTAACAAACTTCACATGACAGACTTTACCAAAATAATATGATAGCCGCTCATAATAGCCGCTCATAATTTTAAAGCAGTGGCTAATAAGTGCTATTTTTGAAGATACATGAGCAGCATTGAAGATACAAGCAAAGTTATTATGGGTTACAGTACTAAACTAGTTGAAATTGTTTGAATACAAAATGGCCAAAACATTTTTGTCTCATTCAAAAAAACAGACTAAAACAAAATGAAAAGTCAAAAAACATTTGTAAATTTCTAAATTGGAATTATAAGAAATTAAGAATAAAATAATATTTTGTTTAAAAGTAGCATTAAAACACATTTTGATAAATGGTAGTATTTGTTATACTTTACTCACTGAATACCCTTTGTAGTAAATTTTCTTTTTAAAAAAAGTTTTCTTTATTTCAAATCAGATCCACAGGATTTATACTGGATGGTTTCCCTCGTACCATAGATGAAGCCCAGTTTTTATCAGATCGAGGACTTTGTCCTGATGTTGCAGCTATTATACAGGTGGAAGAAAGTGATATTATTCATCGTCTTCTTCCTCCCCGTTTGACAAAATGGAAAGATAAGCAAAATAAAAAAATGGAGTTTAAGAAGAAAACCAAAGAACGAAAGGCAAAAATAAGGGTAGGCTTTAAATCTTTTTCTAGGAAATATTTATATAGATAGTAGGAAAGTATCAGTTTAGGTTCCAGAAAAAAACAAGTCTATTTTTAATCAAACTTTGAAATGAATCAACTGTTCAAGAAAAGATGAGAATATGATCTGATAGTTTTTGTTTTTAAAAAAGCATGTAATAATAGTAATGTGGCCAACTGTGGCATTTATGCCACATTTGGCATGGGCAGTCTGTGTGTGACACATGGCAGACTTGGGAGGAGACAGCACAATAGCAGGAAGGGCAGAGAGCAGAATACAGAGCAGCAGATTGGGCAGTGAACACAGGACAGGAAGTAGAAAGCAAAGCAGTAGTATGCCTGCCAAAAAAAGTTGGCCCCATCACAAGAGGGCTTTTAAGCATTAATGAAAGAATTTGTAAAGCTCAATAAAATTATTTGGATAACTATGTGTTTGCAGTTCAGGAAGATGAATATAAATAGGGAGTGAAATCATTGCACCATTTGACATCAATATGGGATAAAGGCAAGGAAATGCACTATGGCTGGTTCTCTTTAATATTGCTTCACGGTTAGGGTTGCCAGGATCTGGAATAGGCTTCCAAGGGAGGTGGTGCTTGCCCCATCCTTGGGGGGTCTTCAAGAGGAGAATGGACAGGCACCTGGCTGGGATCACATGACCCCAGGGTTGGTGACCCTTTTCTTGCCTGCCAGGGACAGGGGGTCGGACTAGATGGCCCACTGAGGTTCCTTCCAACTCTGGAATCTATGAATCTATGTTATAGAAAAAGTAGCAAAATTCTCAGGCTGGAGTGAATTTAAATAGCCTCCAAGAACTTTTTGGATATGCTGGTGATTTACAAAGGATGACTGGAGACTTGAATAAAGTGGCAAGAAAAAGGGATTTAAAATAATTGTAGTTAAAACCAAAACTTGACTGCAAGCTGAATAAGAGATCTTTGACAAGTTTATTTAGCAGTCAGTAACCCCAGATATCCAGGAGCTAGGCAGTTTAAATACCTAAGCACAATAATTACTAATACCATTTTGGTGAGGGAAGAAATTAAGGCACAGGTAGAGATTAGGAATGCCCATTCATTCTCTTTGCAAGAATTTTTAACTCTGAACAATTTCTGGGAAAAACTGAATTTCTGACCACTATAAAGCCTTTTATTTTATATGGGTATAAGACCTGGACATTTACTAAGAAGAATGTAAGTCAACTAAATACCATAAAAAAGAAAATATTGAGATAAATTTTGAGGTTAATAAAGGAGACTGTAAGTAGAAGAAGCTATAAGAAGTGAGTTCAGGAATATAATAAACAGAAAAAATTCAGTGACTTCAGTGATTAGGACATATGTTTAGAACAACAGACGTGTAAGTCATTCCTATGATGTTATGCCTCCTATCTGACCACAGAGAAAATGGAGAGCTATTATACTAAGCAGTACTTAATGGCTCTATATCCTTGACAGACAGAAGTAGGAGCAAATTGTGAGAGGTGCCAAAGACACTTAGGGCACGTCCCCACATGCAACAGGGGCACACGCTTCCAGCAGCAAAAAAAGTAGCGGCACAAATTTGTGCCACTACTTTTTTGCCACTGCACATGTGGTGGGAGAAACCTCCCTAAGGTTCATTGTCTAGCTGTAATTTGATTGACAGACAACGCGGGTAAAGAAAGACAGCTGTTTATTTGCTCGAGCAAAGACCATAAAGCCAGCAAAAGGCAAAATGGCCCCCCCCTAAGGGTGAGGTGATCTTTTATACTTATTACAACAAGGCAAGACTTCATGGTTAATAAAAAAAGCAATACTTGGGCGGTGCTTTTCAAATCTTTGTAACAGCATATTTCTATTAAGCTGAACTAGCACTTTTTAAAAGCTAAAAGTTAAGTAACAGTAACATTATAATATGTTAGCAAAACCTTACACAGTAGTAGATACTTCTCAAGGACACAACCAGTGCACCCAGAACAATGGTTTCCCTGTCTTATCTTACTTCTTGCTGTAGCTGATTTTTCAGCACACAGACACAGAGATACTTGCTGCTTTTAACTCAGAAAATGCTTAATACAGTTAAAATGATTACTTGACACAAGCAAAGGCTTAGCTATCAATCTGCCTTGTGGTCAGCTGCATTGCTAGGCCACAGGTCATGCCTTGTATTCAGCTGTAAAGCTAATACTTCTTAATAATCTAAATTATTGTTAACCTAACAGTATGCTATCAGAAAACTATTCTATTTCAGGGTAATAACAAACCTGCGCACTACACACACGCCCCTGCATGTGTGCTTTGGTGCAAGGCAACATGCCCTGCTTTGGGGAAACTGCCATTTCCCCACTCCTCCTGGCTCCTGGTGTGCTGGAGGAGCAGAGGAAAAACTAGAGGAGGGGAGATGCTCTGGCCAGCAGCAAATCATCTCCCAGGAGGACCAAGCCTCCATATCTGCTGATGCATGCTTCTGTGGTGTGCTTCATACTGCTCTTTTTTTTTTTGCGACGTTATTTTTTTGCTACTGGGATTTCCTGGTAAGAAATGTTGTCCCCATACTGCAAATTTGTAGCACAGGGCACATTTTAACATACTGGGCATGCAGTTTGTGGCACCACAAATAGGTTTGTGGTGCCAGAAACCACACGTATGTGCATATCTGGATCCAGCCTTAGAGTTTACATAGCTAGGGAGCAAGAGAAAGAGAAGTATTATTTTAGCAACAAGCACATCTTAGCCTAGATTATACCCTGCAATAAATTTAAATTGGAAGATGCTGGCAGTAACATATTTGCAGTGACTTGTCCCTAGCATCTTCTTCCATATTGATCACATTGAACCCAAGTTGACCATGTGTCACACTGTAGGACATTCATGTATTCTTAAGTGTTTGTCTAAGGTGGTAAGTTGAGTGGCTGGGAACTTTCAGGACTTTATAGTTCTCTGCTTCTGTCACTGATACACCACTTATAACAGCAGATGTGTTAACCCCTCAGTTGCTGAATGTTTGTTTGAATCATAGAAACTCTGAAAGTAGGCAGTGACAGAAAGGAATTAACTGTCAGTCTGAACTGAGATAGACTCAGAGAAGCCTAGCTAGGAACAGCTATAGTAATAAATTGGTTAGACCAAATGTATCCAGATCACTCACTCCCTCTCCCCACCTCCCCCGCTCCCACCTTCCTGCAAGGACGGTTGCAGAAGTTAATACAACCATTGCTTTTCCCCCACACTTGAATTCCTGTCCCCTCTAGGAGCTCTGCAGGTCAGACAACACTGCTTCATGGGCTGAATCTAGCCTGTTGACCACATGTTTGACACCCTTGGGTTAGACAGATTCTGTTCAATTACATGTTTACAACTTACAAATTTAGCTAAATTATGAGCAGTTTGCATATGATTAGACAATTCTTATTAAATGTAAAGCTGACTTCTACAAAGATTTCATCTTGCACGCAACAATCCAGCAGTTCAGAAGCTGAACCAGACTTTTCCTACATTTGCTGCTGTGGCACCAAGCACAGGAAGTAGAGATAGAGACATTATCTCTCCTGTACTTTCCTGGCTTGTCTAGACTGTTAAATTATGACACCGAGTAGCACCATAGTGAGACATAACACACTCTAAGTGATATATCATGAACCAGAAATATATAGAAGAGTTGCCTAATAGCATGTAACTGTAGGTTCTTTCGCTGTCTCTTATATGGGCATGCATGGCAGTGATCTACACTATACTAATTCTGGTTTGGGAGGCAGCACACACAAAGCAAGCACTATTGACACTGGATTATAGGAACCCAGTCCTTATACCTTTGTTCCAGGTGGGCACAACCCTCAGACTGACCACAACACCTGCCAGTTGATAATAGGTGAATTTATTGATACAGAGTAAGAACAAAAAACAACAATACAAACAATCAAACCATTCTGTATCTACCAATCCTAGGGCTGTCATAAGAGTCCAAGTACATCTGGTCAGGATGCAGGCTCCACTCTGAGGCTCTCTCTCTCAGGTGTCAGCTCTCTCTCTCAGTCTGGAGGTGGGATGCTAAGGCCCACAACCCCCCTCCAGTGGGGTGCATGAGATGGGCTACTGGTATACTCTTGGTTCATGATGGCCTCGGGGACCCTTCTCAATGGATGGGGATGGGGACACCTCTGCTCAGGGAGCAGAACAGGGAGGAACGGGATGAAGGGAGGGACCCTTTGTTAATCTCAAGTCACTGTTTTTGTATTCTCCTTCCCCCATGATGACTCCTGATGACTCTTCATCCGTGGCTATCTCTGGTTGGTTGTCTCTCTGTGATCACACATCCACATAGCCTTCCGGGCCTTCTCCTAATTTGATCTGTTCCCCCAAAACTGGGACTTAGGCCCCCTTGCTCTCTGAGGCCTTGTTGCTGGTGTCACTTATCTTGTGTTATGGGACAGTATGGTACATACTTCTTTGGTTCCCAGACTGTGTGTCCTTGTTGTGTTAGACATCCTGTCTGCCTTGAAGGCTGTGATCTGGTGTTATGGCATGCCCCCCATAATTTTCAGGTTGTGTCCATCCGTTGGCCTTGTTGCGTTAGATAGCCTGTCTGTTTTCAGGGCCATGAGAAGCTGTGTGTGTGTCTCCCAAACTCTTTAGAGGTCCAGTTAACCCCTAGTGCCCATCTTGACCCCTTATAATGTATATAGCTATACCTATAAGCCAATTCCCAATAAAACAGACCTTTAAATACCATTTCTAAGCCAACAAGCACAACATATATCAGTATGTTGCCTGGCATCATAATTGAGTGGTATAGACATACTCTCAATGTACTGCTGCCAATATACTAAGGGGCAAGAAGAAGAAATCTGATCAGAATGTGGAGGGGAGAGGAGCAAAGGAGGAAACTGAAACTAAGGGGAGACTTGGAACATGCAGAGATTGGGGAAAAGTGGGAATTGGTTTGATGAGCCAAAGTGGAGTCAGAGAGGGGACTCAAATGAAGTCAGGTTGGGACTTAAAGGGCTGTGGCTTGGGGAATGCAGGGAATAAACTGTCTGTAACTACTAGAAAAGACTCTCTTGAAAACTTGGAATAAAACCCAAGATTCATTAGTCTCATGCATTAGTCTTTTCTGTTAGTAAAATAGCTTGGAGGTTTGCTGGCAAAATGTGTGTCTCATCTTGCTCTAATTTCTGGATTACATGGTTGTAGTCGGTTGTTATCCTTTATCAGTTACTTTGGTAGCTCAAGTGGCGTATGTCTGTGTCGTGTACCTATCATAGAAGGGCATTCCAGAACACACTTTATCTACCCCTTCCTGCTCGATTTTTCCCAAAGCTATAATTGCAAAGAAGTTCCTCTGGGGGTATCTCTTGCTACCACTTAAGCATGTTGGAAACTGAGGTCTTCAGGATGAATGCTAGAGGATGTACCTGGAACTGTTACATTGGCACATTTCCGGGTATAGGGCATGCAAGCAGTAGCAGGTGGGCAAGACATGCTTTGGAGTATCTGGACTGGGACATTCACTAATGAACTATGTGGTTGTTGGTACTTAAAACCTAGGAAAACATAAACACAAAACTGCATTAAAAGATTGTCAAGCACTCCATTTAGGAAAGCATAGAAAAATGACTAACTGAATAACTTTAATTCAGCTTCCTTGTCTTTTTGTATTATGATACAGTTTTCAATTATATGGTCACCTGTTATTTTTTCTGTAGGACAGCCATCTCAGTGAACAAGATGGATTATGTTCAGAGAACCAATCAGGGCTGTATATTTAATGAGGCTGTTATATGTAGGTTCCTGCTTCATTAGTTAAAGAAATGGGAAAGTGTATAGCAAATGAGTCAGAGGACTGCAGAAAGAGAAAGGATGGTTTCACCATGAAGTTTCAATGAAATGCCCAATGTAGAACTGAAAAAACTTCAAAGAACTTTGCTGTTAAATACTTGACAAGCCTTTAGCACCTGTGTGTGAATTGAGATATTTCCGAGCTTTATAACATGGCCAATTTTGTACAGTTTTAAATGAGAACAGCAAAAGACACACCCCTGACAGCCGAGATAGCAGGCTGCCCCTTTTGCCAAATTTTCAGACTCAGCTTCAAAATGTAGAGATGCTACAGCTTCTCATTATAGAGGTTGTAAGATTTTTTTCAACACGGTGAAAATAAAATCTGCAAAAGTGTATACAATTCAAAGTAAAATTCTTATAATGTAAAGTGTTGGTCAGGATGAACTCTTAAGCAATGATACCACCTCAACCTGTAAGAAATGCAGAGAGAGAAATGTTGAAGTTCTTATTAATTTTTGCCTATGTATACTGACTAAATGAGATTTTTTTTAATTAGGTAAGCCTTAGAGATTTGGTCCAAAACTATTGACATTTTGTTCCTTTTATTAGCATATCAAACAAGTGAGCTCCACTGAAATCTTCAGATGAGAGACATAATAGAAAGTCAAAGTATTGTTGTTTTATTACCTTTTCTTTCCTTACTAACAGGATAAAAAGATTGCTAAAAGAAGGGCAGAACTTCTAGCAGAGCAAGCAAAAAAGAAAGAGGAGGTAAGAAAGAATGAACGAGATATAAATACAAGTTTTGTATATTGCAGGGTTTTGTCTGTCTCAGCAAGATCAGATAAACAGGGCAACCATCTTTACTGTACGAACAAAAGGCTTAAATAAATGCTGTTAAGCAAAACAGCAGACAGCAACAGGAGACAAACACAACATGGACTAGCCTCTTTGGGAGTGCACACACTCAAAATATTCAGTACAGAACTCCCCTCCCCTGTCC